GCTGGAAGCTGCAGGTGCACATACACACTGGTCATGGGTATATAGATCATTGGGTTTAGTCTTCCAGAAATTCAAATGTCTTTTGAGCATAAATAATGTTGAAAAATTGTTTCATGCTAGTCTACTCCACTGGCATGCCTGGCTCCGGAGTAGGAATTTTCCCTGCCTGCTTCAGACACATGCATGTTTGTTTAGAAGTTTTCCAAAATAGGAAGGAAAAACAAAATAGCCCAGGAAAGGACACCATGTGATTTATAAAAGCTAAAAAATAAAATAAAATAAACTATTCCCAATAGGTATTACTGCTTCTTCTTTTTTTAGTATTAGGTGATGGAGAAAGACTGAATTCAGCTAACAGACATGAATTATGAAAGAGGGTATAAAGCTAATTACTTACCTTACTCTAAAGCTCTCACATTTTTTTTCTGTTTTTCGAGACAGGGTTTCTCTTTGGAGCCTATCCTGGCACTCACTCTGGAGACCAGGCTGAGCTAGAACATACTGAGATCCATCTGCCTCTGCCTCCTGAGTGCTGGCATTAAAGGCTTGCACCACCAACGCCTGGTGGGATTACTGCTTCTTATTGCATACTCCTTTTCTTAATTTTATTTAACTCTCCAAATACTCCCATCTCTTGTATCTCTAAAACTTTTGATCAAATGTTAACCTTATCTAAACATTTGTAAGACCATTTTGTAAAGTTTCTGTATCATAGAATTTGTAAGTTCATTGGGTATGATTTAAAAAAAGAATCTCTAAAATCTGTAACAAAAAGTTAGCTTTAAACTTGTAACAGAAATGGTTGATAATTTTAAAAAACTATACATAGGTAATCATAATTTGCTACGGCACACTTATATGTAAATTGCATTCAACTCTTATTCAGGAAAATGGATGTTTTAAAAAATTGAATTTAAAATTAAAAAAGCATCTGATGTACCTGATGGGCTAACCTTAGAGTGAATACAACCAAGTAACTTGTGGCTGTTTTGTCCTATGACCTTGTAAGCATGGAAGCAACCATGTGTCTGGCAGCCATCTTTACTAAGGTTAAACAAAGAGCATGTCATGTGTCTTCACTGTCATCTTGATTAATGTGACCACATGATACAAACCAACTAAGGCAGCATCCATAAAACTTCTTAGTCTTACTGAGACCTTTATAACTCCTTTTTAGACTAAGGAAGCAACTCCATGCCTCCAAGATATTTCAGATTAGGATGGATATTTATATAACAATTTCATCAGGAGAATGAAAAATAGTAGAGACAAGCTGTTGTGGGATATTCAATAACACTGTGAACCCCATGTATGCATTTGCATCAATTAAATAAAATCAACCTTGGGTCAGGAAGAGGGGCCAGCAACTCGTTGACAGAAAGTAATCTTAGAGAGTTAGAGAGAGTCTGGAAGACCTATAGTTGGAAGCACAGGAAGTAGTAGGGAGGGACTTTGTGTATATTAGTTTTGTTTATTTCCACAGAGCAGAAGAATGCCCTCTTTCTGAGATGCCGTCAAACAGGGAATGTCAGCTTGTTGTTCCTCAACCTCTCTGAACTAGCAGGCTTTCACCCCAGCCTCTGACTCCTGAGTCTTATTGACAAATAGAATGATAGAGATTTAATTAAAAACCATATTTGCCAGGTCACTGCCTCAGAAGTGGGCCAGTAACTTTGGAGCCACAATTACTGGCTGGAACAGCAGTAAATTAAGGGACAGCCATTGTGCCAGAGGAAAAACAACAGAAAACAAAGCCATAATGTTTATGGAAAATGGGACTTAAAAACAACATTTATCTCATGGTTAAGGTTTATAAATCCTTAAAGTTACAAAGGTCTACTCTACTCAAGTTAACAGAAACTGATTTAGAGATGTATGTCTAGCTTCGTATGTCTTTGCTAATGTGTTCAACACTAAGTTTTAACAAATTTAGATAAGGAGCAACAAATACTTTATGAATGAGGCTCAAGAACTCCCAAGGTCCTTTTAAGCTACCAACTGACTTAAAACTGAATGTTTAGCCTCTTTGTCTTTGCTAACTTGTTGAGCTTTAGCTGTTAGTATTTAGGCATTTGTACTGGCCTGCCTTAGGAGTTATGACAGAGCATGCCCTCAGCTGTTGCTACTAAGGGCACCACATGTGCCTATTCATTATTTTCATTTTAAAAGGGATACTCACTAAATGATAATGGGCAATGTTAATATTAGACACAAAGATATAGAAAGGTCATCATACATGAAAGCAAGGAATGCCATTTTGACACTTTCTGTTCAGATTCATTCATTAGATGTCGACTTTAACTGATTTCCTTCTCACAGCTTCCAGGTGCTTGTTCCTTATGCTGGAGTCTGACATAAACAGTTTATTACAGTTGCCTTATCCATCTACAGAACTCTGGTTCATTGTCCACCCAGTTGTACAACTGTATTTAATCTTCTGCTAACATTATAGTTAACCAAATGTTATACTGATTCCTGTATTAATCCTAATGTAAAAGTTTTCCTCCTGTAACTTTGTCTCCTAGTGTTTCCTACAAAATTACACAATTTTCTCCAGACATGTTCTGGATCTTTGCCATCTGTTAATTTTTATCATGGTCCCTTGGATGGATGCTTTTCTGAGTCACTCTAGCTGTTCCCCTCATTGCCCTTTTGTCAGCCATGAAGCAGTTACAGAAAAGATTGGTGCCTGAAACCCCTAAAAGCGGATTTGACCTTTGAAGAGGGGACTAATGGGCCATGGGCCATTCAATTCATTCCCCCTTCTTGCCACTCTGGACATTGCTTTGTTACTTAGAACTAAAACAGCTGGACTGAAGCCTCCTTGGCATCAATTAACCTTTCTATCAGCTTAACATCCTTCAGGACCAGCTCAACTCCTTGACTGCTGCAATATTCTACAATTAAAAAGGACTACATCTGATTATTGGGGTGGGATTTGTGCTCTCTTCCATGAACAAGCTGCTTCCAAACCAACAAATCCTACCTGGTTTGAATAGGATCTAGAGACAGATAATAATAAAAAAAAATCAATCACAAGCATCCTCCAATGTGTGGGTCCTGGTTCCTTCCCACTCTGGCTCCTCCCCTGGACCACTCCTTTCCTCTTTATTACCCTCACACTTATGTTTTTGCCCTGTCTCTTTAACATTTTACTTACTGGACTTCACCCTATACCCAAACAAAATGCTCCAGGAAAACTCTCAATAGCGCTTACCCTACAATAGCTCCGTTTGTCCCCAATGCATCTGAAAAAAGACCTTTTAGGTGTTGTGGAGAAACTGGCTAAAAGGGTTCATCGCCCTAATCCTAGGCCAGGTATATTTCTTTACATTAGTCCTGTATTTCCTCAGGTTCACTTCCTTTGATGCTCTATAGCTCGCTGCTACTTGTGCTAGCTCATTTTGATGCAACAGTCCTGAAAATGGGATCAGTCACTGTCACCTTGAATCAACATTCTGTCCATTTTCTCTAACTGGCCCACTCTGTCTCTCTTACCTCCCATCATCCTCATCCCGAACCCTCTCAGAAAATCTCTCAGTTTCATTCTGTAACTAAACCATCTGCTTACAGCCCTCTTGTGATTATTTTTCAAGTCTCAAGAATGCAGGATGACAAACACATGAACCATTACAGCCAATCAACTGTAGACACTACATGACCAGAGGACCCCCTCTTAACCAAACCCAACTACCCCCTCTGACAAAGATCCTCCTCAGCAGGAAACGGCTAAAACAACCCTGCCCTGAATTTTTTGTATCCTCTCAGAGTTATGAATGATAGTTTCCTGCTGAAAGAATATACTTCCCACCTTCTGTTACAGACTGTAGATGTAATTTCTCCCCCTATAAGGGGCTGCATCTCATCTCCTGTAGACGTTTTGGCCCTCCTCAATGTGGGTGACAAAAGTGCCCCCTTGCCCTGAATAAACATGGTCCCACCTAAGGTTAGACCAAACCTCTCTTTCTACTTTCTCTTTCTCTGGAGCTTCCTTAAATAATCTAATACAGCTATGAGACTTTTTTTAAGTATCAGAAGACACTTTGAGAACAGTGTTGGGCTATGGCAACATTTGAGGTTGCACTGAATAAATTTTTCAGGATGTGATAACCTGAGGAGCTATCCATGGAGGCCAGGGCTAGAAAGCTATAACTTTGATATGAAATGAATATAAACCCTATGAAATAGTTCCCATAAAATAAAATATGTGCTTGAACATTCAATTCCAGAGTGGTCGTGCTGTTTTTGGAAGCTGTGTAGTCTTTTGGAAGTGTGCCCTAGCTGGATAAAATATGTCCTGGGTAGGGTTTGAGGGTTAGCATTGAGGTTTATAGCCTATTCCATTGTCCTGATCGCCCAGCTTCCTCATGGGCTGACACATAAGCATGCAACCTCACAATTCTACTACCACGGACAGGAGCGACTCTCATCGCCATGCCTTCTCCTGACATGGTGCACTGTACCCTTGAGCTAGGAGCCCAAGAAATCATTCCCCTTTTAAGTAGTTTCTCATCAGGTATTTTTGCCACAACAATGAAAAATAAATATATTCCTGTACTATCATGTATAGGACATATAAGAAAATGAGAGATTACTCGGGTCATTGTAGGGGAAGCTGTATCCACGCCCTCTTAGGGGCTGGCTACAGGTGTGCCTGACCACGCTTGTGAGGGCGTGGTCAGAGTGATGTTATGTGACTGCGTTTGCTCTTTTGGTTGCACTTTGGTACTTGCTGTACAGACTGCTGCCACACCAGCTGGCTAGGTCGCTCTGTAAGTAAGGCTTTTCCCTATTAAATACCCTTATATTTCTACCTGACTCTGTATTGGTAATTTCCCACTATAGGTCACGAGGGTAGAGTATTCATGATTGAAATTGTGTTTTTACAGAGACCTGATATAGAGTTAACTCTTTCTACCATGTGAAGCCAAAAAAAGAAAAAAAGGGCAGGGGGGTGAAGAAGCTGTAACCAGATTATCAGATGGACTGGCACCTTGGTCTTTAACTCTTTCTACCATGTGAAGCCAAAAAAAGGGCAGGGGGTGAAGAAGCTGTAACCAGATTATCAGATGGACTGGCACCTTGGTCTTGAACTTTTCAGCTTTATGAACTGTGAGTAATGAGTTTCTACTGGTATGAAATTATACAGTCTAAGGTATTTTGTCATAGTAGCACAAGCTGACTAAGACAAAGCCGCAAACACACCTTTTGGTTCTGTAGTCTGTAACTGAAGCTCAGACTGAGACCAGGTTTCTTCTTTATTAACTGGTTCCATGAGTAAGCTGACTAAGACAAAGCCGCAAACACACCTTTTGGTTCTGTATTCTGTTACTGAAGCTCAGACTGAGACCAGGTTTCTTCTTTATTAACTGGTTCCATGTTAGAGTTTGCCCTCAACTGCCCAGTAAAGAGCAGTAGAGGAAGCTGGCTGAATGAGGGAAGTGGATCATTAGGCCTTTGGGGGAGCTTCCTGGCTCACTCAGGAATGCTCTTCCTGCCCCCCCCCCCCCCCCCATACAAGGGAAGCTTCAGCCTACAGGAAACACGGAATCCAGATATAGACTTGGTCCTCCGACCCCTTTAAAGATAAGACTATCCCGAGTTTACCACCTGGGATACACAGTCCCCATCAGCCAAAACCTGGATTGAAAATTACGAAAAACAAGGATGGAAAACTATCTTTCAGGTGGACCTCTGCTTTCTTATGTCCCTTCCAAACGTGAAACAATCCAGATCTAAGGGAGGAACACATGAGGGTCACAGTAAATCAGGTTGTAGAAAAGACTGTCCAGAAAAAAGCCTTCAGGGATAATATTATGCTTGCCCTGCCCATCGTTGAGTTGTCATGTCCAAGACAAGGTACAAGCATCACGTCCGAAATCATCGGTTGCTCCTACTAACGATTTGACTAAATGTGCCTTGTCTGACTCACTGGAAAGACTCGCCCCCCAACTCTATGTACACTGACCTGTGTTATCTCCTGGATATACACCTGGAATGGAATTGGGAAGAGCGCATATTGGTCAAATGCGCCCCAGTTCTTGTACTCAGTAAGTGTAGGAGAAACTGTGCCCAGCCACAGTAGCCCTGTCTCTGGTGCCCAGACCAACCCGCATGCACATACGCAGCAGGCACTTCCTCCCTGACCCAAGCCACCAAGCCTGCCTCAATGCCCAGAGATGCCGCTGCGGGAGAGACCTGACCCAGAGACACCAATGGGTAAAGGACATACAATAGAGTCAGTGCCTGAGCCAATGGGACCTTGGGAGGGGGTATAAAGGGAGGCCTAACTTCACGAATAAACAAGTCTGCAGCCAGGTATGTTGGTGCGAGTAGGGTAACCACAACAAGTAAGGGGCTGGAGCAGCCTTTGCAACTGTCCTTGGCACCTCAGCCTTCCTTACTGGAAACCAAAAATTAAGGAAATCAATTTCCAGATAGACTTAGAACTAGGCCATTTGAGAAGTCTATTTCCAGGCTGGAGAACTAGTTGGCTGGTCCAAGTAGTCCTACAGAACTGAAGGAGGCTAGACTGACCTCCTTTGTGTGAAACTGGAAAGACTTTTCATGGCTTTAGGAGAAACTTCCTGTTTCTATGCCAACCATTCAGTGATAATTAGGAAAAACTTCCTATGGTCAGATCAAACCGCAAAGAAAGGGATTAAAAGAGACACAGATCATATAACTGCTGTCTGTCTGTTCACCTGGTCCCGGTGGCTGATAACCATACAGTCACCATTAGCCAGACCGTTGATTCTTAACCTAATGGGCTAACACTGGGAGTCTGCATCCTTGACTTCATGGCCAACTAAGCTACTGATCCTTAGAACCAACGATGCTCCCCTAAAACAGGAAAATCAGTAATTTCACTCATGACCATAGAATCCTGTGACATGTGACAGAGCAAGAGAGTACAAAGTTTGCTCTTGCCGAGGCCATTTTAGGTTTATTAGAATTTTATCTCCCTGATGGAGCATCCTGTGGAACACTAATCATCTCTCCTTGCAACCTGAGGTCAAGATGCCGTAGTTTACTTATCTTAGTTGCTGCTAATCTGCCTCCTTCTATGAGCCTCCCCTTCCAGCTAGCCTCCCCTTCCACCTTAGCTTTTGTTAAACTGACTGCTTGTGCCAACCTCCCCCTACAGATGCAGAGCAAGATACTGGGGTGTGGTTTTTGCTTTTAAAAGCTTCTTGCTCTAAATGCTCAGGCTACACTTAGGTGGCAAAACCAGAATGTAGTCTCAGCCATCTGGAATAGACTTTCACTTGACTATAAACTCTGTCTGAGTGGTCATCTCTGGCGAACTCCCCATAACATAGTCATCTTCTTCAATGAATATTGTCTGGTCCTCAAAGCTAGGGTTACTTTCCAGAATATACTTATATTTTCCTTCTGCAGGCAGTCTTTTTATGATTGAGTCTTGTAGGTCTTTTTATTTTTCTTCTAACTACTTTAAAGTATATCTGTGCAGCCTGGCCATCTTCATCCCTGTTTCCACTCTTTGAGGGCAAATAAACAGTGCATCAAACCAGGACTAGTTTTCAAAGCACAGTTTATGTGAGACTTCCTTCAGGAGATTTTTATTGCTCTTTTCTATTTAAAATGTAGCTGGCATGTTGGTGTAATCCTTTCATCCTTCCCAGTATTTAGGAAGTAAAGGAAGGCAAATCTCTGAGTTTAAGACTGATCTGGTCTATATAGCAAGTTCCAGGCTAGCCAAGGCTGCCCACATAGTAAGACCATGTCTCAAACATATTTATTTAATAAATGTGTACCTGGCTTTAAATCCCAGCCCCACAAAATCTTAACTGTAGAACTTTGTAGTCTTTGTTTAACCTTTCCATATTTCAGGCTCCTTGTATGTACAAAATAATAATTGTATGATTTCAAATACTGAATGGGGTCATAGAAGCAAGGTTTCTCACACAATACTATAAAATCAGCATCATATTTATCTATATTTTAAGGGCCAATCTGAATTGCTGTTAATGGCATGGCTATCTATTATAATATTAATGTGTGGCTGTTAAGTTGACAGAGCATTAAGTCATCATAACAAAATCTTATTTGTTTAACCAATCAACATATTTTTATTAATATGTGATTTTGGGCTACACTGTCACAGTGCTTACAATAGGGAATTTTGCATTATATAATGCTGATTTACTTTGCTTTCTTTTATTTTCCAAGTAAGAGTCTAACTATTCCATTTAGTGGTGAAACATTTGAGCCTATGTAGCCTTGTAGACGGTGATGCTAACACTGATTGTTTACTTTCAGCCTGGCAAGAGAGGGATGTCTCACCTCCCAGTTCCTGGATCATCAGAGGGTGCTTCATGCTTCTGCAATACAGAATAACATCACACATCTACATTACCTCTTTCCTGGCATAAATTCACCAGAGATCCTGGCACAAGTCCACCAGAGAAATCTGTTTGCTATTCTAAAATAATATGGATATCATCCCAGAATTAATTTCAGAGAGCAGAATTGAGCATATTCGTAGATTTTAGAGGGTCATTTTCTCCAGCCTTTTTTTATGGATAAAACTTAAAGATCTTGTTATAAAAGTCTTCAGGGAAAAGCAATTCTCTGAGAAATCTCACTTCAGAATTACCTCATCTGAATGCTATCTGTTGCCATATGTTTCTTTGGCCTGGATTCCATTCAGTGAGGTACATTCTTCTGAGAGAAACCAAGTGAAGAGCAGGGAGGATGCCAGTCATCAAATGTCGATGGCCTGTGTCAATTCTTATTCAGATTTTTAAAGCGACAAGAAATTGTCTCTTGTTTTATTGCTTTAAAGCCACAAAGAAGGCAACATGATTAAGATCTATAAACCCTGAGTCCCTATTTTTGCTGTGAAAATATTGCCTCCTTCTTTTCCTTGAAAAAGCCCAACTCTTTTCCTGCTCACAACCTATTTTCAGTCTAAAATACATGTTCTGACTAATTTTCTTATGTTCATATCATGTTTCATGACTTCTTTGCTTCTCATTACCTCATGGGGATTGGACCTTGTTGTGAAAACTGAAAATATTTTTTTAAAAAAATATAACATGTGGGACACCATAGTCTCTGACCAGTAGTGTGTATCCACTGTGGAAAGACCATGAAAGAGATGGGGTGGGGGGAGAACATAAACTAAAACAATGGGTAAATAAACATGCAAAGTCTTCACCTTTACCTGAAAACAAACTGATGGTGGAGAAATTTAAATGACAAAGGTTTCATACCTGCAATGTTACAATCCAATTCATACAATTCATAAAAATGGATTTATGGAGAAATTGGTGGGGTGTAATTCATTTACTTATTTTTCTTTCTTATGTGTATGTGTGTTTTGCTTGCATGTATGAATGTGTGGGATGTGTGTCCCTGGTGACTGTGGAGATCAGAAGATGCTCTCAGATTCCCTGACAGTTGTGAGTTGCCTTTGGGTGCTGGGAATGGAACGCTGGTCCTCTGGGAGGGCAGTGCCTACTCTCCACTGCTGAGTCACTCCTCCATCCCCTGAAAGTTTGTTTCATAGAGAACTTTTGAAGATTTGTACATAGTAGTACATCACTGAAAAACAATGTTTTCAAACACTTACTATGACTGATACTTTGGTGAGGGTGTGTCAGAATAAAAGGCTGCATAAATTATTATGGCCATAACCATACAACCAATTTCAAAGCTATTTATTGGAAGCCAAGTAGCTAGCGAGTCACTGTTGAACTAGAATGAACTAGACCAGAGGTGGTTTGTTCCCTGATTTAACTGTCTCTTTCTCACTCTGACAAAATAAAAGAGGTGCTATTAGTATCTCAAGGAGAATTTGGTCTCCTAGATGACTCCAGTATATGCCTCCACCCTTCTGATGCTGTTTAAAGTATAGACAGCATCCCTGAAAAGAATACATTGACAAAGTGTACCTAGACATGCCCTACCCTGCAAAAAAATCTTTAAAAACAAGACTGAATCTCTTTCAGAAACAGATGGAAGCAGATGCAGAAATCCACAACTAACCACTGGGACAAAATCCTGGAGTACAATTGAATGTGGGAGGAGCAATAATATGAACAAAGGAGCTAAGACCATGATGGGGAAACCCACAGAATCAGCTGATCTGAGCTCATGAGAGATCACTGACTCCAGTCTGACAAATGGGGGACATGCATAAAATCGAATTAGACTCCCTTAGTATAGGTGACAATGGTGCAGCTGGGACAATGTATGAGGCTACTGGCAGTGGGTCCAAAATCTACCTCAAATGCACAAGACTGAAGTGAAATTGCAGTAGGAATCATGTTTGGTATCTCAGCGAATTGTCAAAGACAAAACTGAAGTGAGGTGCTTTCTCAGGAATGTGGTCAGAGAATGGAGCTTGCCACTAGTTAACCATAGAGGTCTGGAGGTCTGTACAGACAGAAAAGAAGAGAGATAGCTGGGTGGAAATAGGGTATAAGCAGGGAGAAACAGGAAGTGGCTCTCTAGTCTGCTGAGACAAGACACTAAGGAGATAAGGTGTGGCTATGGCTTGCTCCTTCAGTCTCATCTCTCAGCTTTTTCCTCTATATGTGACTCCGGATTTTTATTACTCAAACCAATTAAGAACTGCATTTACACAGCAATGTTCTTTTATTTGCTCATAATTATCTACATGCTTCAGAAATTCTCTCTTTCATTTTTCGTTTGGACTATTTGTCTTTAAAGCTCATGGGTTTATGAGAAACTGCTATACCTTTACATGCTGGAGTAGCCCAGAGCATCCCAACCATAAAAGACCCTTTTATGATTTTGGGGGGTACTTTAAGGGATGTGTTTTTATCTCTTTGTCACACTTGGCAGAATGTCCTAAGTATTAATATGCACTTCAAGCCCAGCCCTTAAAAACACATTAAAATAATGTTATTTTAGCTTAAAGAACTTAGAGCATAATGCACATTTCTGTTTTTTAAAGAATCCTCAGATTTAAGAAAAAACAAAAAAAATCTACCTTTAAGTCAGTTAATCATCACTAACACCACATAGAGAGAAATTAGGGAAATAATACATCTGATAAGCCATGCATAAGCAATAATTGACTAATTTAAAGTATCCAATAGTTTACCTAGAGATTCTCTTTGTTCTCTCTTCCTCACACTCCTAGTCTCTTTTCTGAGCATGCTCTGTTTTGATGAGTACTCCCATGCTCTCCCATATTCCCCAGGATTGAACACAAAGGAGTCAGTTATTGCCTGTTATCCTCAATGGAATCCTCCTAATTGCAGTTTAAAACTGACTACTAACGAAAGGCGAAAATGAATGCAGAACACGAGAGACAGACCAAAAAAAAACCTGGCAGGATTCATCTAAAAATATACAGAAAATATGAAAACTAAGGGCAGTCTAATGGATTATATGAATAAAATATTACATAGCACAATCTGGAGCAAGTGCTTCATGACAAAATGAGTAATAGTTGATGGAATTTAGATCTCTGTAGAGAAGGAATTGCATTTTTTACTAGGCCTATTTTTCTCCTTTCCCACTCTTGTTAGCTCATTTATAAAGTGATGAAAAGAAATCATTGCAAGTGCTGCTAAATGATTGAAGATGACTTCAGGGACACGTTGAGCTTGCTCTCTGCTGCAGAATAATAGACAAATGCCAGAAGGATCCCTGAGAGAGCAGTCATGGAAGAGAGCCCGAAATGGAAAGAAGCAGGTAAAAGACACTGCATGGAAAGAGGGGATGCTCTTTGGGAGACATTACAGGTATTTCTTCACAGCAGCTGCTTCCGTGAACTCACTGAACAGGGGACATAGGACTCCCATATTTCTAGCTTTTAATACCATTGAAAAATTCTGTTTCACATTAGCGTCAGCCTCATGCATTCTGTTCTCTTTCAGCAGCCCCCATAAGAGAATCCTGGCAAATCTTTTGTTTCAAGATTTGGGTGGGAAAGTTTAATATTAACAGTGGGAGAACTGCTAGTTTATTGTAATCCTCATACATAGATTCATTTACTAGTATTTCTGGAGGAAAATGTATAAGAATGGATAAGAAAAGGATATTTATTAAGCATAGTTTTTGTCTGTTTTTGGAAAGGGGTAGGATAATAATATTTAATTTTTTCTGTTTGAAATATTTAACATATTTTCATTAATACAGAGCCACTATATTATTGGACAATAAAATTCAAAATATATTTATCCTGTATCTAAAGTGTTGTACCACTTAAAAATTATTGAGTGGCCTCAAACAAAAGCAATTTTTATCTAGTGATTCTGGAAATCCTGGCCTTAATCCTCCAAAGTGTACCATCTAATATAATGCATCTAACTCCATTACCATTGATTTCTTCATTTGCAAAACAGAGATAATCAGATTTTTCTTACTTGTTTTCATGAAAACTAAGTGGAAGAATCTATGTAAAGCACCCTACACAGAAAAAGTCTGAATAAGCTTCCATCTTCTTGGTTCCAAGTGCTGTGTAGCTGTTTCTTCCAGTTTGAAACATTCCTTTGGAGAAGGAAGAGGGAGGCTTATAAGACTCAAGAAGAAACGTGAGGCCTTTACAGTATCAGACGTTTAAGAAAGTTATGACCCACCGGGCTTCTTCTCAAGATTGTGTAAGTCATGAGCAAGTGTTGGGGTGGGGAGGAGAACTCTCTTTGGTGGAGCTGCCTATGTGGCTTTCATATGTCACCACCCATGATCAGGTGGGCTTTGCCATGATGTGGCTGCCTGTGGGTCACTTCTGCATCTGTATGCAACCTCTCATCCATGGTTCTGTAAGAAATTCCAAGAGAACTCATAAGTTCATGCAGCTAAACGCAAGAACATTCACTTCTTCAGTGTGCTATTGGTGCCCTATCTGGAGTGAGCAAAGATTCTTCACATCTCCTCAAGAAAAGACACAGCAAAGGCTGTGAATCTTAAATAGACTTTTCTGACAGGAAAAAGTTGGAAGAGTTTTTTTTTTTTTTAGTTAGTAATAACACAAAAGAAAAAAAGTGACCTTTTTTGACTGTGGTATAATTGAATGTTTCCTAAATATAATGTTTATGGCTATAATTTATACAATTTTGTTGAGTGAAAGGAATAGAATATGAGATTTTTACATTTTTAGAAACTAGTTATTAATAGTAATTTTGAATACTCTATATTAATTAACATCTCAGCTTATTGTTGTTTTCTATGAAATATTAAAAAGAAATTAAGAAGCCTGGCATTGGTGGTGCACGCCTTTAATCCCAGCACTCGGGAGACAGAGGCAGGTGGATGTCTCTGAGTTCGAGGCAAGCGTGGTCTCCAGAGCAAGTGCCAGGATAGGCTCCAAAGCTACACAGAGAAACCCTGTCTCAAGAAATCAAAAAAAAAAAAAAGAAAGAAAGAAAGAAAGAAAGAAGAAAGAAATTAAGAAATCTTTAATGTATACACATTAGTCTTCTATTCCTGGGAGTTTCTTTGAATTTATTGCACATGAGATGGAATGATATATCCCACAACTCAATAAACAAAGCACATAATGAATTTAAAATCTAGTTACTTCCCTTGTCTACTTTCTTCTTTCCTTACCCCTGTCAAAGTCAAAAGGAAATAGAACCAAGCAGAATGTACTCTTTTCATGTGATGTTAGATTATAATTAGTGTTGTGCTTTTGATTATATCAGAATACTGATTAAATTATAATAGGCAGTCAGATGTACACATATGAACCTGAGGAAGTGGCACATTTCCATTTTACCTCTTGTATATACGAAAATGAAACCAGGTAGCTAAAGACTTATCTACTCCCCATGTTTATTCATACTGGCTAAGAGACCAAATCAGTTTATCTACATATGGACTATTGGCTTGGTTTTGAAAAGATGGTACATGCTTCAACAATAAAAATGAATAAAATTCTGTCACTCACAGGAAAATATTATGTTTAAAAAGTAGAAATAGAAAAGGAGACATTGTGTAGTTTTTCTCATAATTGGAAGCTAAAATATTGATCTCAGTGCAGAAGATATAAAAAGTGACTACAAAAAAATCAGAGAGAAGGAAAGTCAGATAACAAAACAAAATAGTCAGCAGGATAAAATTCTAGTGTCCTTTAGTACAGTGTGGTCATTGTAGCTCATAGTCTCCTTTTGTGTGTTTTATGAAGAACCAGAGTTGAGGACCTAGAAGACTTTACCTATAAAGGATGATAAGATGAAAAGTTGTTATTTCATTAGTATACATTGTGTGTATGTATTGAAGTATCTTTCTGTAACATAATTATGTATAATTATTTTGTGTAAATTTAAAAATCTAAAATGAATGCTT